TATGTCTAATAATTTGTTATATTTAATGCCAAATATATTGTTCTCTCATTTTAAAGTCAATCAAAGCTTTTATTTATGATTGCTTTCAAGCGTTCGTTGATTTGAACGCCGCGTACAAAAGGGAGTGACGTTTGATTGATTGCAATCACATTATATCCCATACGTCTCAATAACCTGATGGACAGTTCGTGAGTTCCGATTAAACCCGATTCACCCAAAAGGCTGTCTTTGAAGCCGAAACACATGAGAGCGCACCTGAAGTACATGTTTTAATCACAAATTAACCACAATTTGCCATCCATTTTAAGTTTAAAAGTGTTTTTTACATACCTTTGAAAACCTTGTGGTAAATCACGTACACTATTAGAAGGATCGGCGCCTAAGACTCCATATTCTTGAAGTGATAGAAATTCGTTGTCTTTATTTGCTATGAATTCGGCGTCTGTTTTGTGGCCAAACAATTGAATTATAAAACATTTCATAAATAATTGTTATAAATAACAAACCAATAGAGAAACCAAAAGGAGTCGAAATGTTTGTCTCAAAATTGGGTCCAAATGTGACCAAAGTTTTGAAAACATTTTTCCTGAACTTTTCGACAGTCGCTTCTCTTTTGATAGTCTCATGATTTTTGCCAACAATTGGCTGGAAATCAATCTTTTCATTCATTTCAAGCTCTGCGACGCCTTTAATGTTCAATAATTTTAATTTATGGATAATTTGTTTGTAATTTAATGTATCTTCTGATTGAGAATCGTTGCAATTCATGAGTTGGTTATAAAACTCGTGATTCATAACAGATTTGACATGAATTAGAGGAACGCATCCGAGGATAGAGAGGGACCAGACATAGAGAAGCCACGAATGCGGGTCTAAATCTTCACGTCTCACATACGGTATGACATAATTGAATAAAACTTCGTTCAGATAATTGCTGCGACTGTGAAGACGGGCAGCGGTCGACACAAACACCAGATAGTCTTGAGGGCTATTCAATATCATATGAACGTTAGAAATGGTAAAAGCGATGCAATTATCCAAACCTAAAGTCATTGTTGGTGTCCGTAATCTTCTCGATATATTCATTGAGAAGTCTTGGATACGACCAATTCGAGTGACTGATGGCCACTAAGAGATCGCGTCGATCGGACGGCGCGCATACGTCCAGAAACTTGCGATTGCATAACAGATCCGACGTTTTCTTCAGGAAATTGATGTCAACGTAATTGAGTTGATTGAGTGACGATAGCATACGAATCAAATACTTTTCGCGATAATGAATGGGATCTATTGATTCGTAGGTAAACCTATTGACCACCGCATCGATCAATGGTTTGGTTCTTCGATTCATTTGAGATAAAAGCACTAAAATATATGAAAGAGATTCCAATTTAAAGGCCCGTTCATTGGATCGACCGATCATTTCGATTGCCATCGATTCCATTCCTTCGATTATCTGTGGACTCAATGACTGCCAAAGACTTAACTAAAAATAATTGATAAAATATATATTTAAAAATGTGTGTCAATTCTTTGTGGCATCAAAAGGTAACAACCATTTGAATGATGTCGTCGTCGTCCTCCGCGGTGTCCAATTTGGTCACCAAATTTATGATCATTTCGTTGACCACACGCTTCTGTTGATCAGTTGTTTGGTATCGGACGTGATATTGAAGACAAACCAACAGATCCTTAAGTGTCATATGTTTTGCTCTCCAAAGGATATCATTCTCCAGACATTGAATCTATGGATTCAAACAAACGGCAAATAAAACCAAATGACTTAACAATAGCTTAAGGAAGAGATTACCAGAACGTCTTCGGCGCTGATATTCATCACCAGAAATGAGTGCAAAGTATTGATGAGTTCCCTATTCTTCATATGCGAGACATTGTCTTCGATGGTCTGACACAAGACTTGCCAATCACTGGATTCAATCAATTCGCTCAGAGATCGGTTCCCTTTCACCATATTCTGCGACAAACTGAAGACTGTCTGAAGAACTTCTTTGCGGAAGAATCGGTCGGATATAAACTGATTGTCGTTTGGATTAGCCTTCAAATCGGTGCAGATGTCGGTAGTGCTTGTCTTCGGGCGCCCGAAGCCATCGAAGCCATCCAATAAATGGTCACTTCCTCGAGAGTACACTGAATTGGATATGCATTTGACGGACAATACATTCAAATCACAATTCAATGCATTTAAACATCTTTTCAATGGATTTAAACGTAAAAACATTTTTATGAATTGATTTCGAAAATCACTGCAAAATTCAATTCATTTCACATGTCTTTCAAATGCAATGTTTTTCATATGATTTTCA